TTTCTACTAGCATCTATGTGCATGTATTTTCATCGGCTCTTATCTAGCATGTGGATTGTAGACTCAGTGGAGGTCACTGGCGACAGTCGTGGTGACCTGTGTCTTACTCTGTGGCTGGTCAATGTTTGTGATTATAGACTGTACGCAGTTGAATTACTATTTTCAGTATCAATCTGTCCGTGTGCCACTATTGCATGCAGGCGAAATCTGTCTGTGCTGTCTGTGGGAATATGCCTCTGTTTGTAATATGTGCTGCTATGGTCTGCGGACGTCTGCCTCTGTACCGTCTGTGTGGGACCATCTCCAGGAGAACGCTGGCGGACATCAGCGGGACGGGGGATGCTGAGACGACATGGGCGCGGTGCTTCGGGTCCCGTTCGTCCACGAAGCTGCCGCCGAGGAACTGGTCATTGTATTCTGCTATGCGCTGCGGCAGCCGCCAGCCACCGTGTCACTACCGCGGCCGTGGCCGCGGCAGCGTGCGTCCGCCGCAGCTGAGCTCATATCGCGCTCCCTCGGGACAGTGGTGGTGGCGGCTCCATTGTGCTGCCCATCGCCACACGCCGCGGGCAATCTCGGTGCAACAACACAGCGCCCTCGCCCGGCCTCCGGACGCCCGGGTCCGTCCTCTGTCCCGGAGAGCACACACGGCCCGAGACGTCAGCCGTCACTGACGCTGAGTCACGTCATCCCGCCGCCAGTGACGCGGTGAGTCAGCCATCAGTCGCTGGCCTCTCCAGCCCCCCTCGGGCCCGAAATAGCCATCGTCACACCGCCGCCACGCCGCTATTGTTGGGAGAGACACCGGGCGGCTGGGAGGGTCGCGCTGGGACGGGTTGGAGGAGAGGCTAGTGGTGGGAGGGTTGGAGGAGTGACACGTGTTGAGAGGGCCTGGCCTGAAGTGGGAATGGGTCGGCGGACCGATTTGGAATGGATAAGAGACTGTAGTAATGACCCGCAACGGCTGAGTTGGTTGGTGAGTAGGAGGGGATGAAGGACTTGCCCCGTCCTCCGTCGACCTGCCTCGGCTGGGGAGGGCGCCGAGCCGCGCGGTGTGGGCGGATTTCGCAACGCGTCGGGTGAGCCGTGATGGAGATGAGGCGACGGGCCGTGTCGGCGGGTTCACCTCGCGTGTCGCCGCCCGCCCCCGGCAGTTGTCAGCCGGACAACCGCGCTGCATACTGGCGCGTCACAACACGGCGCACGCTGCACGTCGCCGGCGCGCCGCTGCACGTCTCCAGCGCGCCGGACCTCGCTGGAGCATCGCACCGCGGCGCGGCGGGGCGCCGATCTCTCTGATGGTATCGCGCGCGCCCCGAGCTCGGTGCAGCTGGACCACTGCGCCGCTCGGTGCTCTGACGGACGTGAACGTGAGGCGGCGCCGGAGCACGGGTGCCGCCGCTCCCGGGACGCTCGCTCTATCGACGCGCCGTTATTGGCCTGTAACCAGCGCTGGACTCGGCTGAGACCGACGCCGGTCGATGCCCAACTAATATCCCCGCCTCAGCGGCGGCCGCCGCTTGGGATGAAGGCGACGCCAGCGCCGGCCGCCCGCCAGAGGTCATACTTCACAGTGAGACCTGCCGGTGACCCGAACGCTGGCGGTGGGTGGCCTGGCTGACCTGACCGGTAGTCATGTCAGCTGGTGACCTGACAGTCAGCCCCTGACGGTTCGGTTTCTCTTTGACGCCGCGTTCCAACCGGCATCCAATATCGACGCTCCAAATCCCAGCCGGTCTCTCGCATTGGCATTCATCGTTGGACGCGCGGCGGATTTGTAAATACAATGGGTCGGACGGCACTGCGGACGCTCGGCCGTGCGCTGTGGTTGGTCCGGTCTAATATCGCCCTAATGGACTGTTGGCGCCGCTGTTCATGGACTAATTCGGCTCCAGCACGACAGCTATTCTCCGGGATGTGATGGCATATTAATGTCCTTATTAAAACTTGTCTCGGCTGCTAGCAGCGAGTCGATTCGATCGTGGTGCATCTGAATGCTGAATGAGTGGTAGCATTGTGGCCACTCAACCAGCACTTTCTGAGAACCTCTCATTAGATTGGGACTCGAACTACCAAGCCTAAAGCTGGAGGGCCGGGGCCGGACGTCCGGTTCTGACACTGACGCATGTCTGTGTGTGTGTGTGGTGCGTGCGTGTGTTGTGTTTTCGGGACTGTTTTCCATCGTGATGACATGTTATATGGGGCGGTGTAGGGCGCGCCCACTCGACAGCGCTAGTTTGTGAGGGTGCTCGGCGCTGAACGGTTCCCGGCCACGCCGCCCGATAGTGAGCCTAGTCTGCGGCCAGATTCACAACCGATGGACCGTCGGCACGCTACTCGGCCGCCCTCCCCGCCCCGCGCGCCTATTACGCAAATGAAACCATCACGCTTAGTGGCCGCCGTTTGCTGGCCGCCGATGTTGGGCCTGTGTGGCGAGCCCCGGCGCGGTGTGGCTGCCTGCCACTAGGCTCGGCAGGCCCCCTGCCCGCCGTAGCGCGGATGCAGCTACCAATACTCGTAATGAGCCGCCGCAACTCCACAGAACCCCACCACCTGATGTCTCATTAGAGCTTTATGGTCTGAGTTCGCGGGGCTCAGACATGGTACTATTTAAACGACCGTTATTTAGTGCGGTTTCGAATAGGCGCATAATTGGGAACGTCTCAGCAACTCCATAAATGTTTCGAGTACGAGTCTCGCTGCGGTTGTAGTAAATAAACAACTCGAGTTTTACGAGACGGCTGGGCGGCAGTCATCAAACTACGACAGACGACCATTTTGATGACACGGCCGTTTGGCTGGCGAACATGAAAGAAATGGTTTATCTCTCTGGCTTCATGCGAATGGGAGCTGGGAGTTTGAAATAATCCATGTCATGTTTTCTCTCGGTTGGGTTTACAGTTCATAGTGTTCTGCTGACGAATTAGCTGCTTTGCGGGGTTCCCTAGCCAGGGCACTATGGAATGCACTAGATCTCGTTCGTGCCGGATGGATGCCGATCCGCAGCTCCGATCGCGATCCAACTCCATCTGTTCTCTAACAGATCACACCTGTATACCTATATGAACCCGCCGTCGAGTCCCGCTCTCCCACCACCACCCACCGCTCACCGGCGCGCCCATGGAACCCGCTGTAACCCACCCACTCACCGAACGCTCCCCGGCCGGCGCGGTGGTCGCTCACCTCTGACCCACCACTGACCCGTGGTGCCAGTTTTTGTGGCCCACCACGGTCTGCCGCTCCGATGTCGGCTGAGAGAAACCCACGGCCTGGTCTGGGTCTGGTGGAGCCCCGAACATCCTCCCCCCCCCCCTCTCAGACAGGTGAGGATCAGCCCCTCCCCTCTCGCCGGCTTCGTGGAATGCTGCAGCTGACGCCGAGCTGAGAGCCAAAATGGCGCACGACGCTCGACAAGGATCAGCCGGATTGTCTCCGGCGTCTCCGTCTGGTCGGTCTTTGTCTCGTATCGGCGGCCGAGTCGCCGGGAGTTGAGCTGGGCGTCGGCCCCGGCTGCGGAGGTAGGGAGGGGGTCACTGGACACCGCCGTACGCGAGGGGCGATCCATCCAACTGTCCCCGGGAAGCCAGAGCAATGCTCTCCGTCCGCCCTGAAACCGTACACGGCAGTGTCAAACGGGTGCTATCCGAGGAGCTTTGTCACGCACGGGCGAGACCGCCCGGTGTCGAATGGATGGCTTGTAAGCCGGATGTAAAACCTAGTATGTTAAAGGCTTCAGAGGTAAATCACCATCTGCGTAAAGAAGCATCTGCATACGTCAATGACAATGCTTCAAGGGTAAATGCTGCATGTGAGGATTTTCGAAGCATCGTCGGGTCCAAAAACCCAGCATGATGATTATTGGAACGATATTTTTTTCGGAACGCAATTGCATAACTATGAAAATTGTATTTACGAGAAAGCAAAACAGGATAAAGTGGATAGTCCATAATACATATGTCTTATTCCTATAGGTACCTCTTTTCCAATTCACCAGAGATATAAGTTCAGCGAACTCGTCTCCAGTCCACCGACTCGTCACCTGATCCAGCTGAGCCCCTGATATCGGCGGCGAAGAGTCGAGGGCGAGTACCGCGACACATCTGATGACTCACGGTGTCAGTCTGGAAGTACCGGAGGGCTCTCGGCTGGTGGAGGCTCGTGTCGGTCGCTGGCCCTCACCTGTTCTTTTCGTCGGGACTCAGCGGCAGCCGATATGAGCACGTCTGGCATCGTTCGTTAGCGGGCGAGATTCGTCAGAAATCTCCAAAGCCCTGTGAATTGGCGCAGGCTCGGTCGTGCCCGGCCACGAGAATAATAACTTTCAACAGGACCTTTTGCCTCGCCGAATTCAATCTGGGAACTAAGCGAGAAATCTATCGTGTGATTTAGTACAGTGGTGCTGGCAGCCGGAGAGGCGACTTCCAGCGGCCGGACCGATGAGCATTCGAGTATTTGCATTTCAATGCATTCAAAGGAGTCGGCTGTTATCGTGTTTTTGTTCGGTGGGCGTTCGTTAAAAATACAGTGGAGGCTGCGGCCAGAACTGGCGTCTGGCCGATATGGTGTGCAGAGTTTTAGCATACTTGTGTTTTTCATCGGAACAACAGGCTACGTCTGAGTTTTGCCCGATACCACTGATAAACAAAGTCAGGTTAGAGAATGTTTAATGCAAGAAGGAAAACAATAAGGATGTGCCAACTTTCCGATGTGGTTATCTTGAGGCCCTACTTACATTCGGGGAGTGAGGTGGGGGGGGAGGGGTCGTAAAACTAATTCAAGTTAAGACTTTTTTTGTAAATTCATTTACGCTATTTTTTCACAGTTCTGAATCACAAATATCTTGCTCCTGCCTTGCTCCACAAATGCCTTACATACAGTCAGGGGCTGGACGTGTTCGTCAGTATTCTCCTTGAGAAGGTCAAGGGCTGGGCGTGCTCTCCAATGCCCCCCCCCCTTTGGAAGGTCCCAGGGTGCCCCCACGCCGCGCTCCGCCCGTCCCTTCAGTCCTCCAGCCGCCCTGTTGCAGCGCCCCGGTACGGCGTCGTTGGGTTCCATAAAGCCACCATCGCCTCCGCCATCGCCACCGCCGCCGCCGCCGCCTTCTCGTCGTTAGCGTCGTTTTCCGAACCGGAGCTCGTGTCGACGGTCGTCGTCTGAGGGGCTCAGCCGGAACGGCGCGGTGGCTGCGGCGTTTAATACGGCGACAGCCGCCAGCCGAGCGGCGTAATTCGACTGTCGCGCCCCCGGCCTGGGCTCGGAACGGGCTCTGTTGCCACGGGTGCTGGGGAATCGCGGCGCCCGTGGTGGGGTGATGTTTTGGTTATCCTGCATTCTGTATGTTCATGTAGAAAAACACTGAAAGGCACAATAAGTTTTGACTTTTGCGGAGAACTTCTGAGAATGTGGTAGGTTTAAATCATAAAATCAAAACTGACCTTACACATTGTAGAAGATGTAGAAGAAAAGATCTGGGCAACACTTTGGTAGACTCTATTCAGGTCTAGCGGTCCACGACGACTCAACGGTACACGAACGCACACAACATTTATACAGGGGCATCACGTCATATCACGTCATCAATCATTCATCCCATTGGCTCCCCGTCACATCATTCTTCCCAGTACTACTGACACAATGCCTCGGGCAACCCCTCCAGTCACACACTGATCAGGTTCACTCTACAGTCACTCCATACGACATGATTCATTCACACTCACATGACCGCTGACTACACCTCCACCTGATTATCAGTAATCATCATCATTATTCATCATCAACATCGATACATTCGCTTGGCACACTCTGTCCATACAGCTCTTCCGGGGCTCTTCTCACACGTGTACTACGCCGCAGTACGGTTTGGCCATTCCGTTCTCGTTGGGCTTCCGTAACCTCACTCTGAGCGTCCTCCCGTGCACCGCTGAACGTCTCACTCGGAACGTCAGCTGCATCTTCACTCGTCTCCACCGGTGCTCCCGTATCGGGTGGCTCGGGAGGCGGGGGGTCAGTGTCCTGTCCCGTCCCCGACACCGAACCAGACGGCTTCTCGTGCAGCCGCAGCGTCCTGATCTCTGATAGGCAGTCTTCAGGTTCGGACTCACAGTCACTCATACTGTCTGTGTCGCCAACCTCCTCAAACCGTCGTCGGACGCAGCGCACATGCCACGGGGCACCATCCACCTCCACCAGTGGTGCCGGTAACAGTCGGGTCACCACGCCCCGCCGCGACACGTCCGTGCACCGCGTCGGCTGACCTCGGCGGCGTATCCACACAGCGTCACCGACCTGGAACGCTTTGCGTGCACTCTGGACGCCATCGTCCACTTTGGACACCGCTCGGCCGGGTTCGTCGATGTTCAGCGGGAGGTCGTGGCCAGCGCGCTGGAAGACAGCCGCTGCAGGAGCGCTGCTAGGGTGCATCCCGTCACGAGGCGTGTCGTTATAGCGGTGCACTGCTTCCCCGATTGTACAGCCTTGTCGGGCTGCCATCACCTTGACTGTCCGATGGTGGCGCTCGACGATGCCGTTGCCGCCCGCCTCGTGCACCGCCCGGAAGCGCAGCCGGACGCCCCACCGCGCGGCGAATGCCGCCATCCGGCGGCTGCGGAACTCCGTGGCGTTGTCCAGCAGAAGCTCTGCAGGCGCGCCTCTTTCCAGGAAGATGTTTTCCAGCTGGTTCGTCACCTCAGCCGCATCTGACCGGCGCAGTAGTCGCCAAATTCCATACCGGGATGGTCCACAATCAATAACAGTCAGATAGGACCGTTCCCGGTAGTGCGTAACGTCGATCGCCAGCCGTTCCCACGTCAGCGGCACACTCAGTGACCCTTGCTGCCAACGTACCGGTGCTGGGTCAATGGACTGGCACACATCACACTGTTGGATCACGGCACGCGCTGCCGACCGGGTGGCACGGGCGTCTTCATTCCGCCGCACGTACCAGAGGGTCCGACGGACTCCCTGATGTCCAGTACTCTCGTGCACTGCGCGTATCCGTGCGAGGTCGACATCCGGCCGTGGGTCCGCGATTACCGCGGCAGCCACCGGCCGTGCGGCAGGCTCTGGGTCCGGTGTTTGGAGCCACTCCTTTGGCACACGAGTCAGTGCATTCGCCAGGTTGTCTGCGGACTTCACCAGGACGACTGTCAGCCTCAGGTTGAACTCCTCCACCAGCTGACGGATGACGTCGATCCTCCGGCGGATGAGCATCTCCCCGTGTGCCTTCGTCCGCAGGTGCGAGCGGCCGGTCAGGGCGTCATCGATCCATTTGTGGACCGTAGCCGAGTCCGTACAGAGATCGATGATGGTGATGCCCCAGGCGATCGCCATGTTCACGCCGCTGAGCGCCGCGTCCAGTTCAGCCATGTTTATGTGCATCGCCGCCTTCGACTCAGGCCGCAGCCAGCTCGCATCCTCCACGACGCCACCCTCGGGGTCCTCCAGGACGACACCGGCAGCGATAGAGCTAGCGTCCGTCCAGACCACCAACTTGTCCCCCTTCAGCCGCCATGGGCCTCGAGCCGGGTCACTGTCGTTCAGTCGGGCCACGACATGATCGACCTGCCCGCGCAGCCCCACGTCCTCTGTTGGGTCGTCCCATCCTGCTGTTAGAGCATTGACGCGCCGTTTGAGCCACGCGGCCGCTGGTCGCAGCCATCCCACCACTGGCAGATGGGACACCAGCTGACCACACCAAGCAAACACAGCCCGACGCGTCAGGACTTCCGGGGGCGCCGGCACTGGGTTGTCACGACGCCAGCACAGCTCTCCAGCGACCGCACTCACCCGCAGTCCGAGCAGCCGTGCTCCCTCCGCCGCCCGCTCCGGCGGCTTGCAGTCCAGGCCGTAGCGGGCGAAGTGCTCCACCACGTGGTCCGCGCTGACGATTTCTTCGTCCACCAGGAGATCGTCCACATAAGGCAGCACTCCTCGGGCCACCACTTCATCCTGGAGCAGGACGGCTCGTACCACGGCCTTCATGACAGCCGGTGCGATGCTCAGGCCGAATCCGATGCGAGTCAGGCAGTATCTCTGACCTCGCACCTCCACCGTCTGGTACGGTCGCAGCCGCCGATCCAACCGGAGCTGAAGGTACGCCTTCCGCAAGTCCACTACAGTAATGCGAGCGCCATGCCGCCGCCAGCGACGAAGCTGATCGGCGCAAACGTCCGCATCTGCAGTGTGTGCGATTATGTGACCATTCAGCTCACGGTAGTCCAGGACAGGCCTCACCTTGTCCTGATTTGGCTGCGGGACCGCCATCAGAGGAATTAAACCTCGGACTGGGCCATCCACCCGCTCGTCGTACGGCTGCAGCCATCCTTCCCGGATCCACAGCTCCAGCTCGGCGTCATATGCTGGTCGAGCTTCCGGCGGCACGGCATACTGGGCGACCTGGTTCTGCAGATACTCCGGGCCTTCCCCGTCTGCCCACTTCCATGCCACCGTCCACTCTCCAGTTTGTGCCTCGAACCGGGCCGAGAAGTCTGCTGCATCCAGCGCCAGCCCCTGGGGGTCGACCTCAGCCGCCGCCGCCGCACAGATCCGCACGTCTGTCGGCGTCCTCAGGCTGATGCCACCCAGGGCCGTGATGCCCGACATGCCCAGCACCATGTCCACTCCCAATGGACGATCAGGCACAACAAAGGCTGCGAGCGTCACTCGTTTGCCTTGGCACTCCATGGTGACTTTGGCCGTCCCACTACACCGCAACGACCCACCGTTCACAGTCCTCATCATCACCGTCCGCGGTGTCCACTGCTCACAACAATCCTTGTGCACGAGCGTGTCTGTGCAACCAGTGTCCACCAATACACGCCGCTCACGACCGTCTACCTTGCTCTGGATCACAGGGAGGACGCGATCTATTGCTCCGGGGACAGTGCTCGCGCTGACACGTCCCCCGAGGCGTTTGGGCAGGCCGCGGCGAGATGACCCTCAGTCCCACACGTCCAGCAGCGTCTGGGACGAGGTGGGCGCTTCGGTCGCTGCCGCCGCTGCAGATCATTGTGAACCGCCGCCACAGCTTGCGTCTGGTCATTACCAAGCACCGCCCGCGCGCGGGCGACTGTGCTCTCCAGACTGAGTTGCTCTGACCTGGTTCCTGCTCGGATTGTGTCCGCCACGGACGCCGGCAGACCGTTGACGAAGGCAGCTACCAGCTGTCGGTCCGTCACGCCGCCGAACAGGGCAGCATAGCGGCGCAGACTCGCCAGGAAGACATCAGCGCTCTCCCCCGGCTCTAGCCGACGTGCGACGAATGCTGTGTGAGCCGCGAAGTCGTCCATGGCGAACGCCTTAAACAAGGCGTCTCGTGTCGCCGTTGCTGACCGGCGGTCCACCGCGGACAGCTGTGACCACACGGCGAAAGCACCACCTTTCAGCCGCATGGGCAACACCTCCGCCGCCGACACACCGCGATACTCACAGAGCAGTGACGCCTGCGTGTGCCATTCGACGACGTCGCCGCTCCCGTCGTACTCGTCGATGAGGCGAGGATCGAGTCCAGCTCCGATCCGGACCTGCTCAGATCCCTGCACCACAGCGCCCGTCTCTGTCGGTGTGTCCATGATGATGCCGAAACGCCGAAATAGCTTGTAGAAGATGTAGAAGAAAAGATCTGGGCAACACTTTGGTAGACTCTATTCAGGTCTGGCGGTCCACGACGACTCAACGGTACACGAACGCACACAACATTTATACAGGGGCATCACGTCATATCACGTCATCAATCATTCATCCCATTGGCTCCCCGTCACATCATTCTTCCCAGTACTACTGACACAATGCCTCGGGCAACCCCTCCAGTCACACACTGATCAGGTTCACTCTACAGTCACTCCATACGACATGATTCATTCACACTCACATGACCGCTGACTACACACATTTATTTAAAATGACATTTTTAGAATAAGAGACATTTTTAGGAGACATTTTTAGAATAACCTGCTTTAACCCTCGCCCGTAAACGGCGATCTGCCACCTTCGCCCATGCAGGGGGGGGGGGTTGGTGCGACCCCCCCCCTTGGCGTTTGAAAACGGAGCGTCGTAGAGCTTAGCGGAAAAGACCAACGGATTGCTCTCGCCGAGATCTCGCGATTGGTGGTATATTTTTTGGTCCTAGGTCAACATTTGACCTACTTTTGACCGGTCAAAGGTCAAATTTTCGGAAAAATAGACTTTTTTCAACTTTCCGCGGCGACTGCGGCGAAACGGTGGGAGATATCGACTTGAAACCTTCATTATGGTGTTCCTTGATCAATTCTCTATCGTTTGGTATGTATTTCGTTTCCCTAGCTCTAAAAATGGCGCGTTGGGAGCGCCGGAAGTCGGCAAGGTCACAGTCGGCGGCAGAAATTCGAAAAATCAAAATTTAAATTTTTGAAATCTGATTGTATTTTTGGATTTGGGAGGTCCATTTGCTCCCTATAGAAGCTAATATTGCTGCATATTCCCATTGAGGTGACAAGAATTAGCAAAATAGTGGTTCGGGCGCTTTTCAAAAATAGTACCGGACGCTGTTCCTCTTGTGACGTCATAGCTCCGTGACCTGACCTGACCCGGTCAAGTTTCTTATACCATATGATAGCCAATACTTGCCCCAACATGCATGGGAAGTTTCATCACGATCCATCAACCGATGTCCGTACCACCGGCAGGAAACCTCGGGCGTTGGCACTCAGTTTGTGAAAATCCGGCCGGAGGCTGTTCCCTTTGTGACGTCATAACTCCGTGACCTGACATGACCCGGTCAAATTTTTTTTTATCAAAAGATGCGCAAGGTTTGCCCCATAAGGTACCCAAAATTTGGCGGCGCTGCGCGCCGCCGTTTTTGCACTATTTCCGAAAAGCCTCAGGGGGGGGGGGTGCACCAACCCCCCCCTACATGGGCGAGGGTTAATACACTGTACCTTTTTGACTTTTGTGTTCACCTTGCTTCGGGCCACTGCCTGTGCTGTTTTCAGGCCCATTCGCAGTTGGCCGCTGTTGGTGTCTCTCGGTGGTTTTACCCAATATACCCTGGTTTTACCGACCTGCTGGCGGTGTCAGAGCTCAGACTCGGTATGCGTCATCGGAGTGGCGCCCGTCATCGGCCGCCACCGATGACGGATGGCGGCCGACCGCTCGCTCACCGTGCGACACCGCCCTGCCGCCCGCGGGGCGCGCCGGGCGGCGGAGCTGACCTACCTCAACCCGGGCCGACCGTGCCGCGTGCCAGCCGGTCGTGCTGCCCCGCCCCCGCCCCGCCCCTCCCCACCGGCTACCCACGCGGCCGGGGCGCGGTGTTGGGAGCGTGGCCGCCCTGCAGAGGCGATGGGCGAGGGCACTGGTGAAGGGAGCGAGTGACCTGGGTGACCTGAGCTGGCTGAGGGAAAGGCAAAGGAAGCGGGAGGAGCAGAGGTGACTCGGAGAAAGCAGCCGTGGGCTGCGGTGGTGGTATAGGATCTGGGTAAAATAGCCACTCGACTGAGCAGAGCTGTGTGGGTGGGCGAGATGATGGAGCACACCTGTGGCGTGCTATTGCGACTTCAAAAATACCTGCACGTGACGCCCGCGATTCGGGACCACGGCAAGACAGACAGCACCAATGTCGTGCCGGCCCTGCTTCGGACGCACCGTGGGCGATGGTGAATCCCTCGACTGGGCGGCTGGCTCGCAGTTCGATTCGGCCGGCCGCTGCGCCGAGCCGGCCTGTCATCCACCATCGAGAGTTATGGCGCAGACCGGCGCCGGCTGCGGGCCGGGACTACGATCGGCTCTGCGGGAGGTCTGGAGACCAGCGCCGTGCTAGGCTGGGAAGGGGGATGTGTGGGACGGCGGACACGTGCTGCTGCGAGGGGGCAGAATCAGGAGCTGAATGGGCTGTGTGGAACTGTACTGTCTGACAGTCGGCGCTGCTACTCGAGCCTCCCGCCCCTCCGGATGATATTCTCATAGTACGCCCCTCTGAGCCGTCTCTCTCTCTCTCTCTCTCTCTCTCTCTCTCTCTCTCTCTCTCCTCTCTCTCTCTCTCTCTCTCTCTCTCTCTCTCCTCTCTCTCTCTCTCTCTCTCTCTCTCTCTCTCTCTCTCTCTCTCTCTCTCTCTCTCTCTCTCTCTCTCTCTCTCTCCATCCCCCTCTCTCCCTGCATGAGTCTGCCCCTCTCTACGCTACCCTCAGCCGCGGCTGCAGTGACCTACCACCGCATGGCGGCTGTGGCCCAGTCTCGCTCTCACCGCCGCTGGTCGGCTCAGGTGTGCGTCCGTCGCCGGTTTTGTGCGCCCCCACCCCTGGCGGCGGACCGGAGTCCAGGATCAGATGCCGCGGTGCCGTGCCGACCGGGCACCGAGCAAAAACTTGGCCAACGCCGCTCCGTTTCACCGAGCGGAGACCTGACCTGCTGCTCCACCCGACCTCGGTGAACGCTGGGCAGCGGCGGCAGCGGTCTCAGAATACATAGCATGCAACAGAGGGATGACACAGGGTGTTATCTGACCTACCCTTGGCAATGGCAGGTCCAACCTTACCTCATAATGTATCAAGGTCCGCTGTCCTTGATGTTTGGTGGCACTGTGGTGCGCCTGATTCTGGCTTTGTGTGCAAGGATCTGATGGTGTTTGGGCTGATCCATCATCCGTGTCCTGTTGTTATTGTGAGTTTGATTATTCCCATCCTGAACTTGGTCGTGTGCTCAGTCCCAATCATGGACTGTGGCGGTGTGTGATGATTCCGATCTTGGGCTGTGCTGGCCGAGTGATCGGTCCCGATCCTTGGCTGTGCTGGTAGTGTGATATACCCAATCATGGACTGTGATGCAGTGTGTGATACTGATCAGTCCCGTCCCGGTGAATGCGGCGGCCGGCGCAGCGCAGAATTGGCGCCCACGCCGCCGCTCATCAGTGCGATTCTAGCGGCGTGTCCGGCCGTGCATCCCTGATGGGATTCTGCGCCGGCGGGGGCCGCTGATTGGCGAACGGACACCGCAACGGGGACTCTATACGGTCATAGGCAGGGGATGGTCGGTAAGGACTGTGGTCTGAGAAATACCGGCGACGTACGACTGGCTTCAGCAAGCGCTAGTTCAAATTTCTACGTTATAAAATCTAGCCTTGATGCATTGAGTGGTGAATACGTATTGAGGGGCATTGATCTATTGAATTTCTGCGCGTAAAATCAATGGCGCCCTTTCACATGCGTCTTTAAAACAGCCAGTAACGCAGACTTCGGGTGAAAACCACGCGATGCAATGCAGCCTCAACCTCACTCAGGCTCAATCACATACAGGACTCTCATCTCTCCAGGGATCACTCTGCGCCTCCATACCAGTCCACCTCAGGGCCGCCTCGGTCCGTCTGTGGTGCGCCGGTGGCGTGTTTTACCGTCTGTCGCCGCCGCTCTGTTGTGTCTGGCGAGTGAAGACGGTGCTGCGGAGGTGGCGATTCGGCACGTCAGGCGCCTCCAAACAACACAGACGCTCCGTGCCCTGCATACGGGTCGAGAGCGGCTCGGGTGGGATTGGCCGCTACGGCTGCAGGTACGGACTGCAGACTCAGCCGCAGCGGTAGATATGGACTGCAGATTTAGCCACAGAAGCAGGTATAGTAATGGCTTATTCGGGTTGCATTCCAAAGATAGAGGTTGGTATGGGCTTCAGATCCAGAGGCAGCAATACAGGTATTGGCTGCATTTCCAGATGCTGGATTCCTGTCGGACTGCAGCCCCTATACAGACAGGCAGTCGTAGGCTACAATCCCAGTTATTGCAGCTTGTGCCGGCTGCATTGATAGGTGCCGGGTGCTGCAGCCCAGTCTCAGCCGCCTGAAGACTCACACGTGTGTACCCGATGGGGTTCGTGGGCGAATGGAGTTACCACTACAGCCTGGGCGACAGCGAGAATAGATCGACACTACGGTGTGTTGTGACAGGAGCCCCAGTTACAGTTAAAGCACTCGGCGTATGCAAATTGGGAGGCGCTGAATACCGATGCAACACTGGTGAAGTCGCCTGGCCGGAACATAGCATGAGAGAACACGACGGATTTCCGACAAAAGCAGATGTCGTTTGGTAGGTAAATAGGTAGTCTCTTGTTGGACCATGATTGCATAGAAAAAATAGCAGTTAAGCTTTGTCGTAAATCGATATCGAACAGAGCGAAGATTCGACGGCCGGCCATCAGGGTATCTGCACGTCCAGGTCCAGTGGGTGGTCAGCTGGAACAGAGGCACAGTTCAGTTGTGGTCAGGAGTCCGGCCTGCCGACTGGCTATCCCGACAGTGTCGGGGTGATGACAGTCTGACCTGCGACCGTTCGCCCCTGGCCGGGTATCTGAGACGCCGAGCTGAGCCGCCCCTGCCCGCCACTGACGCCTGTTTACCGCGACCTGTCAGCGGGGTCAGTGGCGGCAGCGACGGAGCCAACTCTCCACCGGCGCCGGCGCCGGCCGCTACTCGCCTCGCCGGCCCGTGTGTCATTACCCGCCGGTGTGTCGTCCTCTGACCCGGGGCTGTCGGCGGGTGGGCCGGGCCACGATTAGGGACCGGACACTGCTGTACAGATCAGCATTACGGCGTCATTAATGGTTGCCGAGC